CCCTCAAACCATAAAGATTGCAGATTTCCTTTCAATCAAAACGAAGATGTCCCTCCTCCTCTCCAATCCTCTCACCTCTCTCTCTCTTCCCTTCCCTCACTTTCATCTCCAACTTTGGCCTTCAGTGCAACCCCAGGTACCCACTTCTCTAAACTAGTCTCATGTTTGCAGTTTTTGCTAATATGGGCTTTATCGAAGATGCATTTTACGACTTCTGTTTTTGAACGCTTTTTTGTATAAGCTTATTTGGCTTCACTTCATGCTCACTTGGCCGTTTCATCAAGCACTTATCACTCGCCCCCTAGGTTCAACCAGTTCCTGGATGCTCGTGCTTTCTAAATTATTTAGATGAAGACTGGTCTTTTCTCTGTTATAACCACCGATTCAATGGAGGTTTTGCTGAAAATTACTAAATATTTGATCTTTCTCTTGGATTTAGTCTTAAAGGCAGTTACAATAAAGTTTGTTTATTTTGCTGCCGTAACCTATAATTGAATCTGGGTTGTGCTTGAAATTACGAAATATTTCATCTTTCACTTTACTATAGTCTTCAAGACCCATATCTGAATCTTCAATGACCTCAGAACCTTTCAATACCAGTTTATGTGGCAAATCTGCTTTGGCTTCTTCACGGTATGCAGGTGGTGCCAGCCCAAACTATGCTCGAGAATGCTGACAAAGACATTGATGTTGTACTCTCTCCATATTCTTTAACTTCATTTGATTTGCTAACAGAATCGAACAAAATCAGCATGCCACAGATTGATTCTTTCTCTAGATCATCAAATTAGAAAAATAAATTAATACATGAGTTGTAAATATACGAAACAATCAAAATAATATTACTTGTGGCCATAGTTTTTAAACCCGGCCCGGTGGCTGACCCGGTCCAAGGCCCGGGTTCCGGGTTTTGACCGGGTCGAACGGGTCGGCCGAGTCAATTTCTATTTAAAAAAAAATTCAAAACGACGTCGTTTTAATAAAAAAATAAATAAAAGTCAACGGGTTACCACCTGGTTTTGACCGGGCTTTGCCGGGTTGGCCGGGTCACATCGGGTCATGACTTACCTTATTTTTTCATCAACCCGGCCCGGTTTCAGCCCCGGGTCGGCCGGGTCCCGGGGCAACCCGCCGGGCCGGGCCGGGTTTTCAAACTATGCTTGTGGCTGGTGTTGTTGCTTGCTATGTATGTTAATTTAAGAGGCAAATTTCCCCTTGTAATATAATATTACCCGAGAATATAAAACATGTTGCTCTTTTACTGTGGATGCTGAGACATTTTGACTGCGGATTGTGGCAGTGTGATACCGGTTTTGCCCTTGGTGAATTCATTGCTGGGTGTTGTTGGGCAGCTGCTGTCTTGGTTTTTGGTTGCTTTCTTTGTTAGATTGCCCGTACTACATTGCGGACATTTATAAAAAATATCAATGTATAGTAGTGAAAAAACAATATTTTCTAAAATTAAACAAGTAATAGGTCTTGTTAATTTTAAAATAAGGTTTATTATTTTTGCTCATGATACAAAGTTTGACTTAATTAAAAAACAAAATACATAGAATAATAATGCATGCTATTTAAGCACACCAACAAGCTTAACAATAGAAATACTAACATGAAAGTCTAACTAATAAACTTTATTTTAAAATTTATAAGCGCTTCCAAAATATTTTTTTTATAAAAAAGTAGAAAAAGGTAGAAAAGAAAGCTGGATTTTTAGTTTCTCTGCCTCTGCTTTCTCTGCGCTTGGTTTCTTTTTTTGTTTGTCAGCATCTTCTATTTTGTTGTCATTTGTTACCATCTACTGTTTTGGCTGTGCTTTGTCCAATAAAAAACTTCAGTGTGGTCGTGTTGTCATGTTCCTAGCATTTTAGGGCCAAGGTGAGATTTAACCAGCAACAATCATACAACAACGTTTGAGGCAGGGGATCATGTGTGATCTTATGCATAAATTTCTTCCCTTTTTTACACGAATTTTCGTATCTATCAGCCACACCACCTGCATTTCTACACTTGTGCATGCATGCCGATGGGGTTAATACTTTGCTAGCCTTTTTTCGGGTTTCCCTTCAATTGAATTATAGAGTACAATGCATATTTATGGATGTGGAGCTTGAGGAAACTTCTCTGATCAACAAAAGGCCAAACATTGACTTAAGAATTTAGCATTTTGATTTAGAAAAAACATGCCGTACATCACAGAATTTGACATTTTGCTTTAAAGCATGGAGTTTACATTTACTTAGATTTACTTTGGGATAGAACCTCAGTTGAAGGAGATGTTAGGTCTTTGAGTGGTTCCATTCTCTGTTTTTTTTTTTTTTTTTCAATTGATAATTCAGCTCATTTAGTCATTGAAGATGGTTCTGTCGGTTTGAGAGAGCCACGGTCAATGACTTGTAGAATTTGTCAGAATGAGAAGACTGAGTTTCTTTTTTTGCTATACTGTGATGTGTAAAGGTCAGCAAGCATGTGGAAATGAAAAACAGATGATATTGGGATTCATTTGTGCTGCTGTTGGATATTAATTTGTTTAGTTTTTGATGTCGTCTGTTTGCTTCTTTTGTTGGATCCTATTCATCTATACTTCATGTTACTTTTTTCTCTTTTGTTGGTTGGAGGATATCATCGTCTGTTTTTTTATATCTGTCGTGCCTGTATCTAGCATGTGCATGCAGACTTCAAACTTTATGGGTTCAGCATTTTCAATTCTTCTTCAAGCTAAGGCTTTTTTTAGTCAGTTCTCTGATTTTCTTATTTGCGTTGTCTGGTTTGGTTGTCCTCCTGCTTTTGTGCCCAGTCTTTGTTCTTTATTATTTTTCAATTCTGCCTGGCAGACGATGAAGGGCTTCTGGTGTTTTTCCTACTGATTTGGTGTCTTGCTTCTGCTCCTCCTCACTTAAAAGCCTGCTGCTGCAGCTAGATATGCTTGCGTTTCGGTTTGGTTAAGAGCAAGCATCACGTTTGCACACGACAGGTAAGCCTTTTATTCTCAAGTTATTTGTTACTTCTCCCCATTTCCAAGCGTATATGCCCATGCTTTTTTGCAATGGTTTGCTGTCTGGAAATAAACCACAGCTGCTGGTTGTTCTAGGCTAATGCTTTGATAGAATTGTTGCAGTCCCTTTTTTTAATATATCGACCAAGTTTTCCTGACTTTTTCCTTGGAGAAAGGGCTTGAAAGCATCTGGAGTTCGCGACATGTTTACTGTTTTATATTTCTATACGAGTGTTTCTATTTGCGTGCTTGCTCAATTGCTTTGCAGGAGGAGGCAGACCATGTTGGCCTTTTGGTGTTTTTCCTAGTGGTTTGGTGTCTTGCTTTTGCTCCTTCTCTCTTAAAAATCTGCTGCTTCAGCTATATATGCTTGCGTTTCTGTTTGGTTAAGAACAGCCATCATACTTGCACCGGACAGGGAAGCCTTTATAAAGTCAAGTTCTAAGAACAGCCATCATTTAACTGTTGATCCTTTACATCTTCTTTGGTTCTTTACGATTCAAGTCTCCCATGCTTCTTGCAATCAAGAGCATACAACCATGGGAAAAAAACGTATAATTCTGTTATTCGCGCTGCAAATAAAAATTGCCATGTCCAAGCTTTGATTTTTATTTGGATTTCATTTTTGTTGTTTTGGTTACATAAAAACAACATAAATTAAAAGTTTAAAAACTAATAAGGATGAATTATAAATTTGAAAGGCAGTTAATTACTAATTTGATGTTATGCTACCAATGGTGAAAGTAGGGCCTGGCTCTAAGATTTACAGTTAATGGAAGAGGCTGTATAAAAATCAATTAATATTTTAATTTTCAAGAAAATTGAAGTACAAAAAAGAAAACTTGAATTTTCTGTTCGAACGTAATATTTCTCTATCTAGAAATTTTTAAGAATAGCTTTTTAATTTTTGTAATTTGTGTTGAATTTGAAAAATACTTCTAAGAGGTACTCCACAGTTTTTAAATACTAGTTTTTTTCCTTCTTTTTTTCTATTTTTTACTTTAAGAAAAAAAACATGAACCATATAATTTTCTCCTTTATATTCAAGCATTTGTTAACAGTGTAAAAGGTTAATTTATTATATATATATATATATATTGTTTACTATAGATTTAGTTTTTATTATAAATCTAAATAATTATTTTTTTAAGTTAATAACATAAATGTTTAATGGTAATTTTTAATTTGAATAAAATAAAGTTAATATTCTTTAATTAGATTATCACAAATACAGAAATATTAAAATAATAATTATAAATTATGATTTTGCTCTTGCTTAAAAAATACATTTTTTTTTAACAAAAAGGAGCATGTATTTTTAAAAAAATATTAAGTGTTTTATAAAATTAAAAAAAAATTGATACTCAGGTTATTTACTCAATTTGAGTTTAATAAGCACACTTAATTCAAAAACACAAATAAAAAAAATGCAGTAGTTGTAAATAAAGTGGAAAAAAAACAAAAAAAAAAACTCAAATTAATCACCCATCATGGCCCAAGTCAATCAACGGGTCCATTGCTTAGGAGTTAGGTCCCACCGTCGTGATCCTGTGAGATTTGTCCTTTGATTTCTAAGAACCAGACAAGCCATCTCAACACACGTCGTCCACATCTTCACTCATGCCCTTCCAAGATTGCAAAAGATCTGAATGGAATGGAGGTCCAATTGAATGACACTATCTTTAAAGTGAACTGCAGGTAATTCCACGAAGGAACGTATGCTGGAAGCAAACGGCGTTTGACTGTAAGAAACGAAGAGTGAAAGAGTCCTTTGCGCTTCGATATATTAATGGCATGTTACCTGGAAAAGAACTTTAGATCTTAGTGTCCAGTATTCTAGAATTCGCATCAGATGTTTGAGATCAATTAGGTACAAGTGTTTATATAAATTTGTGGTTGATCGGAGTCAAGCAATGCAAGCAATTTAATTTTTCTCCAAGTGATTAAACGTATTTGAATTTTCATATTAAATAACTTTCAATACATGCATATGTATGCTATCATCATTCATGGTATTCTGGTTCAAGTTTGATGCCATGGCCAAAGTATTCTTTTTGTGTTTTCACACTCATGAAAATTCCAATTCTTGAGGCGTTTATCTCCCCATTTCTGTGGTATTGTATAGATGGCAAGCTATGCACCACTTTTCTGTGAATTGCAATAATTGGAGTTCCAATCTCATTCTATTCCTCAATAATTAATTCAAATTCAGGCATGCATGGAAAGGGATATCATTTTCTTTTCAGGGTACTGACACTGAAAGGAACTTTTCTATGAAAGTAGAATCCAGATGCAATTGTCTTCAAGTCATCAAAGCACTATGGAACTCCGAGCTACTGGGTGCAAAAATTCTTCAGAGAGTCAAGTGGAGCAACTCTTCTTGACGCTAAGCTACAGACAAATTCCTCTACACCTTTTGCATCTGCAATTACTTGGCAAAATTCAAACTTACATGGAAATAAAGGTATGCTAATACCAGCATGGTTTGTAGGGATCATGGCCTAAACACCAATTTTAAGTTTTTATCCTTTTTTTTTTTTGGTCAATGCTGTTTTTGCAATTTAACAAATATGGCATAATCCATCGAGTCAACTTTTGTGGTCTTCCCAACATGACATGCTGCCGCTTGCTGACGACAAAACACAAACACTCGTAAAATCGGGTTGTAAGAGTTTCTAATTGATTTTTTTCAGCCAAGTTCTTACTTTCCGGAAAATGAATTTTTCAGATTGTGAATTTTGGGAACAGCAAAGTGAATCTCAAAGTTTCCATTGATGGATTGGGGCTCAGCTCACGATTGTCTGGATCAACAAAAACTGTGTTCACTTCTTCTAATGTGATGGACGAGAATTTCTTCGTGGATCCAAAAAAGGTTTCTGACATCGTTGTCATGACTCATGACCCTCATGAATTTTCAATGACCTCAGAACCTTTCAATTCCAGTTTATGTAGCAAATCTGCTAACTGTCTTGGCTTCTTCACGTAATGCAGGTGGTGCCAGCACAAACTCTGATCGGGAATGCTGACAAAGACATGGATGTTGTACTCTCTCCATATTCTTGAACTTCATGTGATTTGTTAACCGAATCACACAATATCAGGACGCCACAGAGTTATTCTTTCTCGTGATCATCAAATTAGAAAAATATATAGTGTTCAATGTCAAACATGTGTGACTGTCAAGTCATGGCTAAAGAATTTTTCATCCATGAGAAACCATATTTGATGTTATCTAACCACTGGTGAAAAGGAGGGCCTGCAGCCTCTAAGGTTGACAGTGGATGGAAGAGGCTGTTTAAAAATTAATTAATGTTTTAATTTTCAAGAAAATTGGAGTGCAAAAAAGAAAACTTGAACTTTCTGTTCGAATGTAATATTTCTCTGTCAAGAAATTTTTAAAAGTAGTTTTTTAAATTTGTGTTGAAATCGTTGTTATTATTCAAATAATAATTTGAGAAAAACTGTGAGGAGTGGAGTTTAATTTGTGAGATTTTAATTTTATTTTTTACATATCATTAATTCAATGTCAATGGTTTTTTCTAATGTAAACAATATGTTATCGCGAAGTTAAGTGTGTTTAAAAATTAAAAAGAAATTGATTCTCAAGTTATCTACTTAACAATGATGGGCATATACCAATTCAATCAATGGGTCCCTCCAACACCATGATTCTGTAAGATTTTTCCTCACATGTCCTTCCAAGATTGCAACGCATGTCCACTAAGAGCTACTTTAATTCAGACCTTTTTAAAAAAGTGAACAGATCTGATGGAATGGAGGTCCAATGGAATGACGCTATCTTCAAAGTGAACTGCAGGTTCCACGAAGGAACGCATGCCGGAAGCAAACGGGGTTGACTATAAGAAACGAAGAGTGAAAGAGTCATTTGCTTCGATTCCCTTCATCAAATCTTGTTTCCTTCGATGGCCTCTCCCCTGTCGTGCATGTTGATGGTGTGTGCTAAGGCGATTGAAGGTGATCGCTTGGATGTTGCAGATTCACTTTTGGCAGAAATTCAATCTCTAGCTTCCAAAGAAGAGAGCATATGGACGAGGAAATTTGCCGAATATTTTGCTGAGGCTCTTGTCCGGCGAGCCTATAGAATTCGTCCTCCTTGTGCTTTTCCCTTGCTACCAGCCGCAAGCATTTATGAACCTTTCTGCAAGTTTGCTGGAATCACCAGTAAATATGCCATTGCTGATCATGCCTTGAATTCGGGAAATAAACGACTCCACATTATTGACTTCTCCATCATCTTCTATTTTTGGTTGTGGAATTCTTTAATTAAAGAGCTCAAAGAGCAGTATGGTGGCCTACAATCAGTCCTAATAACCAGTATCGCACCGAAACTGTCAAAACACGCTTACCATCTCCGTCGCAACGGGGTATGGCCTACGGCCGGAAATGTGGAATTGAGGCAATTGACATGCAATAGTCCGGATGATATTGTCAATTGTCTTTCCAAACTCAGAAGGAAAAGTAAGGATGAGATCGTGGTTGTGAGTTGGAATTTTACACTCCACAAACTGCTTGCACAAGATGGGGCAATGGAGCAAGTGCTTTCAAAAGTGAAGGATTTGGGAGCGGACATCATGGTAATTGTTGAGCAAGAAGCCAATCTTAACAGCCCTGATCTTTCGGAGCGGCTCGAACAATCATTCCAATGCTACCCTGTTTTTGAGTCACTGGAGAAAATGTGTAAATTCCCTGTGTTATGGGAGATGTATTTCAGGCGACAGATTGGGAATGTGGTGGCATGTGAGGGCGTTGACCGGGTCGAGCGGATTGAGTCATTTGCTCAATGGCAAAATCGCCTATCTCGGGCTGGGTTTTATCCAGTTCCCCAAAAGGCAGACGAGTTTAAGGAAGATCTTCAAAAATGTTTAAAAGAGGATTATCCTCCATACTATGTAGAAGAATTTGGAATCGAAGAGAAGGAAGGGCATTTCGTGCTACTCAGGCACGGTTTTCCGGTAGCTGCAGCCTCAGTTTGGAAGGTCACTGATCCTCCTCAATTCAGTGGCGGTGAATAATCCAATTCCATCCTTTCCTTTCTCTTCTCTTGTTATACTAATTTATCCATCAATAAATTCATTGTGTGCATTTTCACTTTAGGCCACTGGAAAAACATGTTGACAGGTCTTTGCACGATGCAAGATACAGTTGATGACTCAGAAGGGATGGCGAGCTCCTCTGAGTCTGAGGATGATGAAGAAAATAATTCTCTAGTTTCCATAATGGCACATAGAAAGTCCACACAGGTATCGTTCTTTCTTTTCTTAGATTTAACAAATTCCCCAGTTTTATCTTTACGGCATGGGGAGATTGCAACAACTTCAAATTCCTTAGACATGAATTAGAAACTTACAATATAATTCTTGCTTTGATAAATGGCAAAAAAATCAATCTAACAGAGTTTGATCCACTGCTTGTGATATATATTTTTTTATCTTGATGCCATTACTGGTGTCGTTGATCTCACAGGGCTCTTCAATGAATCGAATAGCTGCTTCAGCTAAGTTATATGACATATTGGAATATATATGTGATCTACACGAGTTACCACTGGCAGTGACACGGATTTCCTATTACCAAGATGGTAATACAAATTCAAAGGGAAAGCGTATTCTATGTATTGATGATAGCGCTTGCTATGTAAATGATTGTAATATGGATGGATTTGTGGATGAATATGCACGCCTTCGTCTGGAGGAAGGACAAGGTATCGCCGGAAAAGCACTTCAATCTAATATTCATATCCAGCATGACATTTCCGTGCTTGATCCAGCTGAATTCCCTTGGGATGATTACGGAATTATCTGGGATATCAGAATCTGTCATGCTGCTTTTGCTATAAGGCTAACTAGTAACCACCCTTGCAAGGATGATTACGTACTGGAATTTGTTCTCCCTAGATTCATGAAAGAGACTTCAGAAGTAGAACTTTTGATAAATAAGGTGTTGCTTACATTGCAGAGGAAATGTTTAAAGTTGTGGAAACTTGGGGTTAGAGACATCAATGAGGCTAGATTGAACGCAACCAGCATTGAAGCAGAAGAAACACGCGAGCTTCTTGAACAGGTGCTCTTCTATACTCTCTCGTTTTACAAGATTATTATTTGTTTTTTTTAATTAAAATTTTTTATTTATCATATTTCATCATCTTAAAAAGTATTTTCATTTAATTTTTTGATTTTTAAGATTTATTTTTTATTATTTTAATAAACTTTTAAAAAATAAAATATTATTAAATTATTTTCCAATCTTTTTTCATAATATTAAAATTATTTTTTATAATATTATTAAATATTAAAAAATAATTTATTTTTCAAGAATTTATTTTAAAAATTTACTTTTCAACAAACAAACAAGCATATATGTCCTTAAAAAAATATTTTTGATGAACAACATCATTTAAAAATTATAAAAAAAATTAAAATACCATATTATTTATTTATTATATCAAATTTGATCTTTTAATTTTTAATTTTTATATATTTTATATTGAATCTTTTATTTTCAATTTTATTTTTTATATTTTGATATAATTTTATTTTTATATCAACTTTGATTTTTTATATTATTGTTATTTATTTTTTTATCATTTTTTTAATTAAAGTTTTTATCTATCAAATTTAATTTTTATTTTATTTAATTTTTATATATATAAGATTTATTTCTTATTATTTTAATAAATTTAAAAAAAATAAAATATTAACAAATTATTTTTTAATTTTTTTTAAATATAGCTAAATATCAAAAAATATTTTTAACTTATTTTTTTATAACATGATAACATGATGAAACACCAAAAACTTATTTATATTTAAAAAATTATTTTTAACAAATAAATATATCCTACATATCATTTGCTATAAAAATATTCTAGGTGGCTGAGGTATCTAAGAAAATTAAGATTCAAAAACTTCAAATTAACTTTTTTACATTTAAAAAATAAATTTTAAAATAATTTTAAAATTAAAAATTAAACCACATAAAAACATAAAAATAACTTGTGATTCGTTGTGATTAGGTTATTTAAACCCAAAAACTATTATATGGTAGCGGTTATTTTTTAAATAATTTTTTATAATGAAATAAATATTAATAATTTTTTAATGTTATAAAAATTATTTTTACTATAATATATTAAAATGATTTAAAATATATAAAATATATTAAATTTTAATAAAAAATAATTTTTAAATTTTTAAAAAAAATACAGATTAAACCATTTTTCCAAACTCTGGCAGACGGGATAAAAAAGAACCACTGTTTTGAATGGACATCGATAATATGTCCAATCACAGCCTTCTATGTGGCAGATTTCCTTCCGCAGCTTGCGCAAGGGGTGGAATAGTTATTGTTCAGTAGATAAATTACATTTGATAATTCGCATATAATAAAATCCATTTCGCCTCCGTTTTGCTTGTATGTTCAACTATTCAAGAAGACACAATCTGCCAATTTTATTAACTGGAATTGGCCTTCATGTTGCCAACATCCTACTTCCCTATCTCTTGACAGGACGTCCAAGAACAATCTGCTATACCTGCACCTGTGTGGGACAACTTCGTTAAGCATACGGATCAAGAAAGAAGTCGTCTAAACATTGCGACAATGATGATTAAGCATGGATACCCCTTGACTATGGTTCAATATGAGTTTTTTGTGAATAATTTTCAGCCAGTGTCTAAACTTTATTCAAAAGACGTAGTTGAAGCTGATGTCCTTGCTATTTGCAGGCAAGAGAAGGAGAAACTCATCAATTTTTTTGATAAGCTCTCTTGTCTCTTGAGTTTAACACTTGAATTGTGGTCATCTAATGACAAAATGATGACCTACTGTTGCTTCACCGTGCACTTCATTGACGATGGATGGCAGCTGAAGAAGAAGATTCTTGCTTTCAGGAACTTACGGTACAACTATGACATGGGGACTGTACATGAAGTCTTTAAAAGTGTGCTTGCAGAGTGGAGCATCAACAAGAACGTTCGCTTCATCTTCCTGGATATAACACCTCCAAATGATCACATGATTGGAGAATTAAGAAGTAAGGTTTCTGATCAAGCCCCACGTCTCCATGAACATCTTTTCTGTGTTCCTAGTTATGCCCACATTCTCAGTCTCCTTGTTCAAGATGGATTTTCTGAGATAAGGAGTGTGCTTTATAAGATAAGAGAATGTATAGAGTACGTCAAAGGAAGCTCACTTAGCAGACAGAGGTTCCAGGAGGCAATTAATAATGGGAGTTTGCAGGACAGGGAAATGCCTCCTCTAGATGTTCCCGCGAGATGGGACACTACCTTTCTTATGCTGGAGAGTTCATTGGAATTTATAACAGCTTTTAATCACCTAGAGCAATTGGATGATGATTTCAAAGTGAATCCATCTGCGGGAGAATGGAACAAAGCAACAGCCGTATTTGAGTGCTTGAAAGAGTTCTGCAAGTCAACATGCAATTTTCCGACAAGCAGAGATGATTATTTTCTCAGTGTTCGTGATGTTTATAAGAATTTGCATGGCTGGAAAGAGAGCGATTATGTATATGTTCGCGCTATGGCAAATAGAATGAAGGGAAAATTTGACGAGTATTGGAGAGAAGCTAGCTTGGCTTTGGGAATCTCAGCAGTTCTTGACCCAAGCTATAAATTGGGCATTATGGAGTATGGCTACCGGCAGATATACGGCAGTGATGCTTACTTGCGCTACTACCAGAAATTCCTTGACAATCTTATAGGTGAATACAATAAATATGCAAAGGACTTCCGCAGTCGGGGACCATCTTCTTCTGCCATGGCGGACGTGAGTCGTTGTACATCATCTTATATTAGATTCAAAGAGTGGCGCAAGGGTAAGTATGAACGCAATACGGTGCACTCACAATGGAATGAACTTGTTCAGTATCTAGAACAGCCTCCGGAGAACTTGGATAAGCATGGTAACGTATTAGCTTGGTGGCAAGACAATGCCCAAAATTTTCCAATACTGGGGAAAATGGCTCGTGATTTCTTATCAATTCCAGTATCAACTGTCATTTCCAAGTCATCAGAGGTTATGAAGATGGCATCAGTCCATGACGGTGTTCGTCCTGAGATGGCTGAGGCTTTGATACGTGGAAGGGATTGGTTGGACAGCCCTAACTGCAAGTGAGTTTTCCTTTTTCTTTTTTCTCGATTTAAGTGTGATGCTTTTATATCTCTGCTATTATTTCATCTTCTTTTTTTTTCTTCAGCAATTGATCCATGTTTGGATCCTCACTGGTAGTTGCTAGTGCTGTGAAATAAGTTTTTCCTGAAGTAAACACTGGCCTTCTCTTTTATTTCCAAGAACAAGATTTTGTCTGCAGAGTGAATAATCTGCAGTGTGCATGAATATTAAAACTAGGCTGGAAAGTAATTATCAAATGAAAACAAATAGCAAGTAACAAGTTACATTATTTTTCTATGCTGCAGGGTCAACCAGGCACAGCACATCTGAATTGGACGCTGTACAAGAATACTGGACATAAGAACCAGAAGTGACGAAGACTTGTTATTTGCTTAATTTTGTCATGGATTTGGAAAAAAAAAAAAAACTCTTGATGTAAAAAATGATATGGAACAATGTTTGAGTGTGTTTTAAAAGTGTTTTGTTTGAAAAAACATGAAATTAATGTTTTTTTTAGTATTATTTGATGGTTTTAATATTTTATATTAAAAATAGAAAAAATCTTTAAAAAATATTTTTATATATTTTTAAATAAAAATATTATTAAAAAACTATATATAATCCTAAAAGTATTTTGAACATAGGCTGCACTATAATCTCCAGTAGTCGGATTTTATAACTGTAACCTGTACAGTGACCTGAATGTTATGGAAGATAATTGAGGTCATTTCGGTCTATAAAAAAACTCAGCTTAAAGATAGCATTATACATCAATTCCCTTCAAATTACGTATTTTTCCGGATACCTATTATGTTTCTAAATTATTACCTGTGATTAAAATTAATAAAAAATTCTTCAAAAACAGTTTAGGTAATGAAATTAAAATAATAATAATTAAAGTACAATTTGATCTAAAATCCCGGATAATTTTAACAATTAAGCCAAATTGAAAAGAGAAAAACAAAGAACAGTTTGAAAACGTTTCGAAACTTGCTTGAAGGTTTTCCTTCCAGTCTTTTTCTCTGGGTGAGAGCAAGCCAAGGCAGAGCTCACTTTCCTTGTCCAAAAGAACCACACAGAAATGCCACAGGCAACGTAAACTAGGAAACCCCCAAGGCCAAAAAGATTGCAGATTTCCTTTCAATCAAAACGAAAATGCCCCTCCTTCTCTCCAATCCTCTCACCTCGCTCTCTTCACTTCCCCCCTTTTCATCTCCAACTTTGGCCTTCATTGCAACACCAGGTACCCACTGCTTTAGATTTGTCTCATGTTTGCAGTTTTTGCTAATATGGGCTGTATCGACGGTGAATTTTATGATAGTATTTCTTAACATCTCCTCTCAAACATTTTCCAGTAGTAGAAGTGGGAGGCCAAAGCACCGAAAGGGATGTTCTTTTACGAACATTGAAGATGCCTTGTGTTGCTTTAATCACATGGTTCATATGCATCCCCTGCCTCGTATTATCGAATTTAATGATTTTTTATCAGCTCTTGTCCGAATCAAACATTATGGGACTGTGCTTTATTTGTCCAAACAAATTGAATTGCTGCAGATCGAACGTGATGCATATCATTTTAGCATTTTGATTAATTGCTTCTGTCGCTTGCAACGTGTGGATTTTGGGTTCTCTCTCTGTCTTTGGATTTAGTCTTAAAGGCTCGTATCTGAAACCTGTGCTCGTGCTTTCTATATTAATTAGCTTTTATTCTAAAATGCGAGGCCCGCATGTTTTGTTTTTTTATTGTTTTTTTGTTTTTCTTGTAATTTTTTTTTAATTTTTATGTTTTTTTAAAAAAAATTTATCAATTTTATTTTTGAATTTATTTTTATAATTATTTTTTGAAATATTATCAACTGCTACAATATTTTCTCATATGATTTTTATTTTACTATAATATTTCTCTACATATTTTTTTCTAAAATTATTTTTTTAAATTTTTTTTTTTAATATTGAAATGGTTAATAATTTAGTTTTGTAGTTTTTTTCTTTAAAACATTATGAATTATTAGAATATTTCTCTGCATGATTTTTCTGTTTTTTAATGATTTTTTTAAAATTATCTGAGTAGATTTTTTTTTAACATTAAGTTGTTTAAAAATTACAACTATAGTTTTCCTCATAAAATATTGTGAATTATTGTAGTGTTTCTCTACGTGAGTCTTTTTTTCTTTTATTTTTTATATTTTTTTTAATTATCTTTATTGCTTTTATTTTTTTTCATGTTAAACTGGTTGAGAATTTAACTTTGTATTTTTTTTCTTTAAAACACTATGAATTGCTATAGTCATTCCTCATATGGTTTTTTTGTTATGATTTTTTTAAATTATCTTTGTCAATTTTATTATTTTTATATTGAGCTGGTTGAGAATTATAATTGTATATTTTATCACAAAACACTATAAATTGCTACAATGTTTCTCTATATAATTTTTTTTCCTTTCATTTTTTTAATATTTTTTTAAAATTATTTTTATAGTTCTTTTTGAAAATATTATAGATTATAGTAATCTTTCTCTGTATAATTTTTTTATGGTTTTTTTTTTAATTTATAATAACATATTGATATGCCACAAGCCCACGAAAGCATGCCGACATGGCATCTAGTTAGTTACTATAAAGCTTGTTTATTTTGCTGCTGTAAATTACGAAATATTTCATCTTTCACTTTAATTTAGTCTTCAAGATCCATATCTGAATTTTCAATAACCTCAGAACCTTTCAATTCCAGTTTATGTAGCAAGTCTGCTAACTGTCTTGGCTTCTTCACGTAATGCAGGTGGTGCCAGCCCAAACTATGATCGAGAATGCTGACAAAGACATGGATGTTGTACTCTCTCCGTATTCTTGAACTTCATGTGATTTGTTAACAGAATCACACAATATCAGGACGCCACAGAGTGATTCTTTCTCGTGATCATCAAATTAGAAAAATAAATTAATACATGATGTGTAAACATACGAAACAATCGAAATAATGTTATTTGAGGGTGGTGTTTTTGCCTGCTATTTATGTTAATTTAACAGGCAAATTTCACCTAGTAATATATATATATATATATATATATATTAGTTTTTTTTATCTGTGCTCCGCAATGGTTTAATATTTTTTTAAAATATAAAAAATATTAAGAATATAAAAAATATTTTAATTACCTTGGGCTTAGGTTTGGTATTTGAGTATGGAGTGGTTCCCGAATCCAAGCGGTGTTTGAGTCTGGAGTGGTTTCAGATCCAAGATACTTAAACCTAATATTTTTTTGGGTTTTGGTATAGGTTAACCTAGAAAAATTAATATATATATATATATATATATATATATATTTGAGGTTTTAATATTTCATATGAAAAAAATTAAAAAATAATTTGTGGACATAAGCTAAAAGATTATTTCAAAAATTTTTTTTATCTTACATTGAAAATATATTATCTTATGTTATTAAGTTGAAATATTTAAATTAAATTTTTTTTTTATTCTGTATTGAAAAAACACATCCTTTTTCTTATAAACATAGAATTTATATATTAATAAGTTTCAAATCTCACAATTTTGATTTGGGTTAGTAACCACCTAAAAAAAAATATAAAAAAAGGGATCTCTAGCACTCTAGCAGGAGAAAAATACATTTGAAAAAATATATATCTCTACCGAGTTTTGATGGGTCACTCAAGTCTCGAGTTAACCCGTTGTGCCGGACCGAGTTCAATAACTATACTTAAACAACAAAAAATGAGCTTGAGAGCGTTAATAATAACTTATTCCCTTCTTCTCTAATTCAATAAAACAAATTAATTGATTTTTAAAATTTCAAAATATAAATTTAGGTTTGTTTTTGCATTGTTATTTTTAAATATTTTTTAATTTTATTTTTGACTCAAGTGCCTGAGCTTGGCAACCAAATCAAACCCATTCATTTTTTTTTAATGTCAGACCCAAAATACTTGGGTCTAGCAGCCGTGTGAAACCCAAGTAGCTTGGGCCTGATATGATTGCCGAACCCAAGATATTTTTGCTGGCATAATTGTCAGATTCAAGGCTCTTAAGCCTAGAATGATTGTCATCTTGAGTTTGACATGGTTGTTAGATCTAGGCACGGGTCTAACATTGTTACTGCATGCATCCCTAAAATTCACTCAATTTTTGTTTATAATAATATCTAATTTTAGTAAAGAAATTATCTATAAAATTGCACAAACTAAGATAGTTAAAAAAATAATAAGTTTTTTACATATACAATATATTTTTCCCACAATATAATAACATAATGTATTGATTCAAAAGTTCTACTTTATTAAAAGTTTTGTATATATTAATAGTTATAATATAGAATAGACTCTACTGTTGGATTACTCATGAAAGGGACAACTCAGGTTGCCAATCGAATGTTGTCACATACAGTACGCTTATTGATAGCCTTTGCAAGGATAGACTAGTCAAAGAGGCTTTAGATATCTTCTCTGGAATGAAAAGTAAAGGGATTCAACCGAATGTTGTCTTTTAATGTTGTCAGTATTGTCAGTTTTTGTCAAATAATTCTCCTTTAATCTTGTTGTAATTTGAGAATAAGTTGTTCTTGATAATATATATGTTGTATCCCTTAGTTGAATTTGAGGAAGAATGATTGTGAACTCATTATTTGTTGATAGTGAAAGTTTTTAGGTGGACTACGGTCTCATGGTTTTTCCCGCATTGGGTTTTTCACATTAAAATCTTGGTGTTGATTTTGTGATTATTTGCATTATATTTTATCATTGTTTGATTCTATTTTACTACACAAAGAGGGAAAGAATTGGGACTTGTGAATTATATTCTGCTGAATTGATCCGGGTAAATTGGTGTCTGGTTGTTCTTAGTTTTCCCAACAAAATGGTATCAAAACATTGGTTGTGTAGATTGAATTTCTTGTGCAGTTAAAATGGAAAAGGAAGATTCGGGTATGATAAAGCTTACTTCCTTACATTATTTTCTATAGAAAACAATGATGGAGGATCACTTATATTGCAATGATTTGGCTTTGCCGATTGAATGTAAAGGAATAAAGTCTGATGATATGGATGATGCAAAATGGAATGGGCTAAATAGAAAGGCTACTGCTAATGTTAGAAAATGGGTATCTTCTAAGTCCATTAATCATATTTCTTTAGAACATGACTGCTATACAGTTTGGAAGATATTGGAAGAAACATTTGCTAAGAAGAGTGCACAAAACAAGGGTTTTGTAATTAGAGACCTTGTGAATTTAAAGTATAGAGACGGTGAAGATGCTTCAGTGCATATAAATGTATTTCAAAGGTTCTTGAATAAGTTGTCATTAATGAATCTGGAGTTAGCCGATGAAATGCAAGCATTAATCCTACTAAGTTCATTGCCGAATAGTTAGGAGACTTTGATGGTGTCACTTAGCAATTCTACTCCGAATGGAAAGATCACTTTAAAAACAGTGAAAGATTGTATCCTCAATAAAGAGAAGGAAAAGCACAAACACTTTTGAGTCTCATGTACTTGTTACAGAAAGTCGAGGGAGAAGTCCAAGCAGGTTCTCTAACGACAAGTAAGATAAAGAATCCAACAATAGAAAAGGAAAATGGAAGTCAAGAGGAAGATCTCAGTCAAGGAAGGGTTTTAAGTGTTATTATTGTGACAAACCTGGGCATATGTAGAAAGATTGCAGAAAGTATAAAAAAGATAAAAGGTTAAAGAAGATAAGAATGAAAAGAATGGTACAGCTGCAATTGTATTTGATGGTGATGTTGTCATTGTTTGTGATGATGGTTGTGTTAATCTTGCATGTCAGGATACCACCTGGGTTGTAAATTCAACAGCTTCTTACCATGTTACACCCCATCATGATTTTTACACATCCTACACTACTGATGACTTTGGTCAAGTTAGGATGGGAAATCAAGGTGTCGCTGCACGACGTCGGGCGACGGCTCCACTTTCTTTGTTTGTTTGTTTTTTTAAACAAAAAAAGAATAATTTATTTTTTATTTGATTGGAGGAAATAAAGATTTTATTGGAGTCGCCATCTAGTAATTTGAGGGAACTAGAAATCCAAAATTAGACATTGGTCCAGAGATTCGGGTACTGGGTTAATTATGATTAAGGGAAGGTAGACACCACCCTTAAAACATCCTTTCAAAGAAAGGTTACCTTTACTTGTGTGTTTTTCTTATTTGATTCAAATGCTATTATATTTTGAGCTTATTTGTAAATTTTTTAACATGGTTAACGTTGATCCCTAAAAATAGAAGACGCGTTAAAAATGACATCAGTCCCTAAAATTAGGAGACTTTGTCTAAAATGTCCACGTTTATCCCTAAAAAGGAGAGTTACGTCTGATTTACCAAAATAAATAATAATGGACATCATTCATATTTGGTATTTAATTTTTTTGACATCGGTCCTTTTTCTGTAAATAAAAGAGACGTGTCGACAAATAATATTTATTTTATAAAATAAAAATTATTTTGATATCATTGACAAATAGATATATCAATTCTTGAAAATTAGGTTTTTGACCCATAAACATTGATATGATAAAATGGGTGTTAAACCCGCGTCGTTATTTATTTTGGTTTATTTTTGTTTTTTTCATGTGCAAAAATTTATAAGTATTTATATATAAAAATATCAAAAAATACCATAAAATATCATAAAAAATTACCTGAGTACCCCTGTATAGGCAAAAGACTAAAATACCCTCGGATTTACCGAAAATTTACGAAAATGCCACTGGCGGCACGTGTGGCTCACGCGCGGTTACTGTTCACGGCGGCAAGATGGTCGATTATGGTAGATCTGAGGACGAGGAATCTGGTGGTGTGGTCTCGCTGGTCGTTGATCTCTGAGGAGGGAGAATCGACGACTTGAAGGTCGATTGGCCGATGACGGTCGCGGCCTTTTTCCGGCCACAATCTCCGGTGAAAAAGTATAAAACGGCCGGGGTTTTGCTCAGGAAGAGGCGATGCACGTTTCTGTGGCGGGTTCACGGCTTGAGACGGCCGGAAATGGGAGATCGGCGGAGAGAGAGAGAATCGCCGGCGAGAGGAGAGAGAAGCTCTGGGTTGTGGTACGGTGTGGACACGTGTATGGTGCGCTCGTGCGTCTGAAGTCTGTGAACCGTTCAATCTCGGATGAACAGATCGTGCGGCTGTGATTCATTTGATCTTCAAGTTGATCGGGCGGTTAGGATGGAGTGGGCGACTATCGGGTGTGGTGCGGTATAGCGAGTGGTCGGTAGACCTGATGACGTGGCGTAACCGGATCGAAGGACAGATTGTTTGAAAGGCTGAGATTGATTTGAGTTTTAATCTGGTGTGATAAAGCCTATTGTATCCTATGAAATCAAAAGCTCAGATCTAAACACTATTAGATCTAACGGTTGAGATATTTTTGATATTGTTTTATTTATAAAAAAAAAATTTAATATCTTACCAGGACGAAGAAAAAGTATAAGAAAAATGAATAGTAACCAAATAGTAATACACATAATTTGATTCCGAATGAATTTTTAATTTTTTCTCCTCCTTCTGTGTTAAATTCATTGGCTATTTATAGCCAACGAATTCGGACAACAATTCACGGATGAATTGTTAACAATTCACGGATTGTTAAAATTTTCAAACTTCCACCGATTACTATTTGTTTTATTATATATAATAATACTGAATAATAATAATAATAATAATTATTTATTGAGATAAAAATTAAAAATTCAAATTAGTATTATAAAAAGTTTTTTCACCTGTTAAAAATTAATTTTAGATTAAAAAAACTTTTTTATACGAGTATCAATTCGGTGGACCGGGTTTTTTGACCAAAAATACCAGTTTT